TAATAATGCCGCCCCCATCGTAACAAAGCCTCGGGGCGGCTCACAAAGAATACATAAACCATACAAAAATAATAATAATATAACAATTAAAAGTTTGGAGATATCTATGATGTCATTACTAGATAACACTCTGTTCACATCCTGCCATTTGAACTCTGTTAAAACAAGGACCTTTTAGTGGGCAGTTATTAGTAACTTCATTGCAAAATGGATCACGGGGCTCATTTTCCAGGGCCGACTAAAAAAGACAACCCTTCACTATCCAAAAGGGCACCACTGTATTGAGCAGCTGCCATGGTGATGAGGAAAGACAGGGTGCTTGCCTATCACTGTTGATCTTTGAGTGGTCACCTGGGCATTCACATTGCAGAACCTATTGTTGGGAAGACTTAATGACTAAGATTGCTTTGGGAGGAACCCCTCCCCCACCCTGGTGTCCATTACAACTGAGATGAATTCCCAGACATTGCCCAAGCAGTCTCAAGACCGAGGGAAGATCAACATGACCAACCTCAAAGAGTGAAAATTGATCAAATGAGATGGATTTGCTATTGTACTATGAATATTGTCTATATTATTATACTCAATAAATATACAGTAGTATTACTGTTCTCATGATTATAAAATTATTTCTTATAGAAGGACAGCAGGGTTAGTGGGTGGGTTGTGTGAATGCTCAGATGACCACTTGAAGAATGACAGTTATAGGCAGTTATGCCTTTCTTCTTGGTGATCTTTGTGAATTAAGTAGTTTAATTGTACTCAAATGGTGGGCTGGGGTTGTTAGTGAAGAACCAAAGAAAGAACTGCCTTCTGATATGGCATGGATGTCAAACTTGTAGCGTTTGATGCAAGTCAGTGGGGTTGACCAGGTTGCTACCTTGCAGAGTTTCAGTAGAGGGATTCCAGCATTCAGGGCAGCTGACATTACCATCGTTTGCATCAAACATGCTTTTGGTCAACTGGAAGCTGTATTCCCAACAATTTGTAAGGGAGTGAAAAGGTCTGTACTCCCAGGGTGCTAGTCTCTAGGATGAAACTGGCTGACCCTTAGCTGCACCTCCATAGCAGACAAAAATTATCTGCATCCATCTAAAAGACTCAATCCTGTAACCATGAAGAATTTTATGGCTCCTATATCCCTGCTGGCTTTCTACCTTCATAGCTATTTAGTATTTATTAGTTAGTTTCTTTATGTGGAAAAACTAAATTCTTTACCAGCAAAAGTTGAGGAAGGACTGACTTACCCTGTTGCTTCCTCACCCTATTGATCAAGTTGCATAAGTGCTTAACTTGTATATTACTTCTTTTTAATTCTGACACTTCCTTGCTGGGCTGCCTCTTTGTGACCTATGAGATAGACTCTAAGCATTACACTCCAAAACCAAAATTTTAAGATAATTAAAAAATGACGACATTGAAAAAAGTTCTAGAGTAAATACAGGTGATTCATGTAGAGTTACTGTACTAGCATTTAGTATCTGTAGGCAAATTCTATTGTGCCTGTGGTCCAAGAAAATGTATATGAGGAAAATTTAGGCCAGAATATTAGCAGGGAAGCCAATGCCGAAGGAAGGCTACAAGGCTGAGGAATGCTTATATGTCAAGAATACAGGTTTGCTTTACTCCATGAGCTTAGCTCTCACTGTCACCTTCAACTGGGAAACAATCTAGTGGTGTTAACTATTAGAGTCCTGTCGGGTTATTCAGTGACCTGTAAATGTGAAAACAAATAAATTAATTTTAAAAAGGGAATCAGGAATGATCCCACATCCTCCAACCTACTGGCAATGGTAGCCAAAAATTCCAAAAGGACTACAATAGGTAACTAACCACACTGTATGATCATAATTGTGCAAAGTAATTTCAAAAATAAATGAAGCACATACTTACGGATACAATTAGGCTGCACAAATCTAAGCAATACAACTGTCCTGTAGCCTTAAATTCACAAAGACAAAACCAACCCTCAAACTACAGACATTTGGGTACTAAATCTACTTTGCTGTTGAACTGCCCAGCTAACAAGAAGAACAAATAATGCTAAAATTTATAAATGGAATCATTCTTCCTTTCCCCTGTCACACTGCTCTTGTGAATAAGTTAAGTAATGTGGGTTTTATGACAGATGAATGGGCTTGCCATTGATTGTTCTTCCCCTCCTTCCTCCAGCTGGCTCTGGCATGTATCCCAAGGACATTTGGGAGATATGTGTGCATACATCTTAATGTCATCAGGCAAGACATCTGCTACTCCTCTCTTGGCAAGATGTAAAAATATTTGAATTGTAAGATGTGGTCTTTCTGGATCATATCATTATGTTTTTTTTTTTTTTTTTTTGTTCCAAGATAGCAGCCGTCCATATAGTTAAATCAACAGAAAACTCTTATTACTCCCAAACTGAAAAAACGGGCATCCATGTATTTCCCATGCTGTAAGCTGCATGAAGGAGGAATCATATGTAACCAAGCCTGCTTGAATATATAAAATATGAAATATAAGGAGGTCAAATTTAGAGATTTGCTTGTATAAATAGGGATGCAGGGGAGATACTGAATCTGGCCTATCCGTTTGCCAATTTGTTAATTTCACATTTCTAGACAATAGCAAAAACAGAATACATATTCTAAGTGCAAGTGTAAGAAAAACACCGAGGAGGGAGAGGCAATCTGACCACCAAACCCCAATACTACTAGTTAGTTGGTAAACAGTAACACTCCAAAGGGTTCCTAGCCTCACTATTTCATTACAGATGAAGTAACATTTCAGTTGTCCAGGTGCATCTTCTTTGATACACACTATTTTTCCAAACCTGTTCGTCTCTGTAGATAAGAAACATATACTTTGGGAAGTACTAGTATACATGCTATGAATGGGTGCACCACTCATCCCCTGAGTAGGTTCAGAATATTTGCATGTAGTTCATTACTCTGGTTGCACCTCCTTCCAATAAGCTTTCCTTAGGCTTGTGGACAAATCTGTCATAGCTCTTTCACTAAGTGTATCAAAATCATTCAAACCCTCTGAAAGCAAAGATGTAACAGGAGGCAATAATTCTGCTACATCTCTAAACAAGCTATTGCTCAGATCATGCTTCCTAGTCAGGAAGGCTGCTCAAATTATGTTTCATTATATTCCTTAGGTGCATGAGAAAAAGATTGTGAAACTGCATTGGAAAATTTTGCAGTGAGTAAAGTGCTTTGTCAGTGACAAAAAAGATCCATCCCAAACAAGGACCAAGTGAGCAATCTGCAAGCAACGGGGAGGCAAATTGCCCTGAACAGCCCCCAGGTGGCTTCAGTAGTAACAGAGTCAAAGTAACTCATGCTTGAAAGATACTGAAGATCACTTGATTATGGTAATGTATTTTGAGGAAAGATTTATACATGATCTTCCTATTAATTTTGGAGAACAAATTAATTTTACAATAGTTTGTTTAGATGTTTGGAGAAAATGATTGCTGTGTCTGCTGTAAAAATATGCATTTTCAGTCAGGTGGAGTTAAAGCTAATTTCTGCCTTATGCTCAGTTCTTCAGGCAAGTTACTTATCCTTTTGTCATGGCAATTTTGTGATGGTGTCTGTGGAAGTATCTCAATTTTTCAATTGTGCCTACAGGCCAAGGGATCTCTGCTGTAAGACTCTGTGGAATACCCCTTGGAAATAAAAGGTTCCCTATAGAAAATGGGGTAGAAAATGTTAGAAACATGGGAGCTAGAATGGTTTAGGGTTTAAGGCAATCAAGTCTTAATAAATGAATAGGAGAAAAAGCTCCATATATTTCCTAAACCAAGGTCATGAAGCCCAAGAAATCTAGCAAACAAAGCAAGTCACACATTTGATACTGGTGCTCATGGACTCTACCTAATCCATTAGCAAAGCTTTAAAATAAATAATAGTGCAATAAGCTTTGACAACTAAAATGTTGTTAAGGGTTATTGATATGACAGCAAGTGCATTTGCACTAAATTCAGATTTTTAACATTTAAAAATTATATTAATTGTTACTTTAAAAGTAACCTATTAAAATGAATTGTTGATATATATATATATTAAACTATATGCATCACTTTTAGCTAAGATAGTGCTGGTTAAATACACTGAATTAAAGCCTACAGCAACAAGTACGGGGAAATGCTCAAAAACTTCTAACGCTGAAATTTTAGCACACAGAGCCATGGCAAATAACCATGAGGGGGGAAATGACAAACCACCTGAAATTAAAAACCAAATATTTCATTTTTATTAAATATAGCATGATTTAATTTTATGTACAAAGACATGATTTAATTTTATGCAAGCATTTCTGTCAAAGCTTTTCCACAGATCATGCAAGAGAGACAGAGCAATCCTTTGCCAGATACAGCTATGAGTTTAATATCTAATTATGGAAGTCTAGCAAGCAAACACAAAACCTTTGTGGCTCAAGCAGTCTTCTCATCCATCCTCCTAGTCTATGGAAGAAGACTAAAAAAGAAAAGAAATCTGCAGGTGAACAACTGACTATGAAGATGGTGCTAACAATAGAAACTTGATTTCCAAGTCCATGGGTTTTTATTTTTTGGGTGGAGACTGCTGGCAGCAGATGAACTCCACCTCATGAAGACTGGGAAGAATGTGATTGCCCAAAGAATCGCAACTGAATCAGGAAGGCTTTAAACTGAATCCTGCAGAGAATGGAGATGAAAGTTCAGAGGTAAAGACTGTAGCCAAGTGCCCATGTACCATAGAAGGAACTGGGAATGCAGCTATATAGTGAGGTTAATTAAACATCTTCATAAAAGTGCAGAGAAATTTCATGAATTCTAAATACTTTACACTAAAACAGGAACAGTTTGAACACTTTATTTAAGAAAGTAAGTATTATTTAATTGGTATAACTAAGACTTTGTGAGATGACTACCATGAGTGGAATAGAGCAATTGAAGATTATAGCTTACAAAAGAACAGAAGCCATAGAAGGGGGAGAGGAGTTGCACTATATATTAAAAATGTACATACCTGCACAGAAATTCAAGAGAATGAACTTGAAAGCATCTGGGTTAAAATAACTGAAAAAGGGAAAAAAACAATACTGTGATTGGATTGGAGTCTACTACCAGCCATTCAAGTAAGGAAAAGATGCAGATGATGCTTTCCAAAAGTAAACTGCAGTTATGCCAGGGAAGCATGAAGAAACAGTAACAAGGCTTTGAATTACCTTAAATATCTGCCACACATGTTCTCTCCTAGAAATTCCTTTAGAGCGTGGAAAAAGAACAAGAGGATCAGCCATCCTTGACTTGATTCTTACCAACAGAGAAGACAGATGACGAAGAAGTAGAACTGTTCAACTCCTATTTTGGCTCAGTCTACTCCCTAAAGAGGATCTGTGTTCGTCCACTGTATTTGAGAAATGGGCTGAAGTGGAAGGAATGCTAGTGAAATCGACAGAGAGATGGTCAGAAAATATCTAAGCATCTTAAATGATTTCAAGACCAAACATTCAGATGAACTGCATCTTACAGTATTGAAGAGGCTAGCAAATGGGGTCCCAGAACCTCTAATATACTCAGGAAATTCTGGAAAATAATTGAAGTATTGGAGGAGTGCAATTGTTGACCTATGTTCAAAAGGACAAAAAGGAAATTCTGGCAAATTATAGCCCAGTCAGTCAGACATCAATATCTGGTAAGATTTAGAGCAGATTATCAAGGATTAATTTGTAAGCAGCTTGAACTAATGCAGTGATCACTCAAAACCAGCACAGATTTATGAAATATAAATCTAACTTTTTCAATTGAAGAATTTCCTTAGCAGATCATGGAAACACTGCAGATATAATACATCTTGACAAGTACCTCATGATATTTTGATCAGCAAGCTATTAAAGTATGGTCTGGATGGCACTGTTACTAAGTGAATCCACAGCATAACATGCTGTAAGAGTGCTCACCACAAAGCTGGAGGGAGGTATTGAGTGAGGTGCCCCAGGCCCGTCCTGGGTCCTGTACCCTTCAACATTTCTGTTAGTGACTTGAAGAGACAGGGGAAGGCCTGCCACAAGCATAATGGCACCCTCCCACTCATGTTCTTCAGTATATGAGCAACTGGTATAACAAAGAATACAAATATCATGGGCAGTTGCTCCAGTCACTTATCATATTGGCTGCACTTTTCTGAATCTTTGCCAGTTCTGCACTCTGCCCTACCAAATGAGGTGCATTTGACTTCCTCTCTGTTGACATGTTAAGCCTTACAGAACAATTGAAATTTTCCCCTCCTTATTTCCTAGTGTGGTTTGTACATGATTTAACTACCAGAATCTTGTTTTTTTCCTCAATAGAGAAGAAATTAAATAATTTTCAACCACTTAGGAAGGGATTGGAATGGCACTACAGGTTGTTCATCACCAAATTAGATTTGGGTTTCCTTTGCCCGTCTATATCTACAGACCCTGAACAAGTCTAATAAAACAAATGTTTTCACTCTTGGGGAAAGGGAATTATTGCCTACATGTCAGATTTACAGTAGTATAGCATTTTAAATGCTTCAAAGAGTTTTGCAGTTTCCCCTTTTATTCAGACTTAGGCTTTACATGTTTAAGCAGAGGATTATTGATTTTGACTGAGAAAGATTCTTCAAAAACCCTAAAATTCCTCAAATCTTCCATGGTATGAATATCTAATAAAAAGTCTATATTTTAATATCTCATTGTCTAATAGCATCACATTAAAAAGTAACAACAGCCTCAATTCTGGCATTAATATAACCCGCATTCTTAGATCCCAATTCAAGGTGCTGATTTTAACCTATAAAACCCTACATGGCTTGGGACCACAATACCTGTAGGAGTGCCTCTTCCATCCATGATCTACTGGACACCATATTAAACCCCTGGGGCCTTTCTCCAAGTACCAAATCCAAAGGAACTGTGAAAGGTGGCAACTAGGGAAATGGCTTTTTCAATGGTGGCCCCTCATCAATGGAATAACTTCCCCACTGCGGCCCAGCTGGTGCTGAATGTGTCATCTTTTCAGCACAAGGTTAAGATGGCCCTCTTTTCTGAGTCTTTTAAGGATATACTCAGCCACCCAGTGGCTTGAGTGGGATCACCAGGGGATTGCAGAGTCACTCATCTTGTCATTCCTTGATTGTCTTTGTACTGTCTGTGTTATCTGTTTTAACCTTTGTATTTTTTTCTGATTTTTATTGTATTTTATCATCAGCTTCACCTGCCCAGAGAGCTTTGGCTGTAGGGCAGTATAGAGGCGATGATGATGATGATGATGATGATACTGGCCATGTTGACTGGAGTTCACAGAAGTTGTAGTCTACAATATCTGTAGAGTACTATATTGCCTACCCCTGGTTTAGAAAATCCAGAGATCAACCCAAGGCTGTAGACCATTAAAAACAAGGCTATTAATTAGATTACCTAAGAAGGCACATGTGAACAGTAGCAGGGTGTTCACTCTTGTGAGTGGAGTTCAGTTTCTTTGGAAAGACAGCCAGCAAATGTTTGTCTCTGAAATAGTCTAGAATTCACCATTCATTTAGAGAATATTGTTTTCCACATAACCCCGTATTAGGTAACCAGGCCATGAGGGCAGAAGTATGATCAAGTGTGTGGCTAAGAATGGAGCTGGGGAACTCTTATGATACTGGTACAGAAAAAGAAGCTTGCACGGAAATCTGGTGAAACATGTTCAAGAAACCTTGATAAAAGTTAGAATAGTTTACTTTTACACCACAGAGCACTAACTCCTCCTGCTGTCTGGAACTGGCCACACCCATTAAAAGTTCATTTCTGAAAACCCAAGCCCATGTCAAAGGATCATATTCATGTTCTCCAGGGTTTGAAACTCATACAAAAGGAAAAAGAATCCATGGGAAAATGGTATGAACAACATGCACAAACTGTAGTGAGCTGGGGGTTTCCTCCCTTTACACATTCAAAGCAGATGGCAGACAACTGTTCTTTTGCAAAAAGCTCTTTATTTATCAAAGTATAGTCAATAAGCTTACAGAGTAGTTTATTGAACCCAATCTAAAAAACTATTTCAGGAAACCCTCCTTTTGAGTATGTCTGGGCTGAATCCCTTCATGGGGGCCTGTCTGTAAGTGAGCACCCCTTTTCTCTGTACACCAACCTTCTAGTTGGCTAGCTCTTCTCTCCCAACACCAGGCCATGGGGTCAAGAGTTGTACCAGGTTTGTCTGATTCTGAGAGCTCCTCTTCCATGCCCCCACTCGACAGCTGTACATCTTGGTTATTCTTAGAGCCTGCCTGAGTGCTTGGGGAGGATGGCCTTGAGATAAGTGTCACTGCTTATCTCATCTCAGCTCTGAAGCCTCACATTCCCAGGCTCCCTCCACCTCCACCTTCCCTTCTGATGAGTCCAGTTCAGAGCGAGCTGAGAATGCCTGCCAATAACAACTTGCTCCTCTCATTCCCAACACAAACAGCAGGTGAAAGAGAAACATTATTCTAGATAGCAAGTTAAGAAATGGACTGGACCAACCCACAGTTTGAATAATCCTGATTTAGGCTACACCAGCCTCACAAGGTAAACTAGGTCACTGTGTAAAAACCATGCTAGCCAAAAGCAATTTGCATGGTGATCTGCAGAGAATAAATGCTACCCCTGGAAGATCAATCAGGTAAGTTATATCCACACAGCAAGTTCGTCTTTTTGTCGCTTTCTTTTAGGCCACTAATAACCAACTTCAATATGTGTGTGCAGGCAGGCTAGTAGGCTTTGCTGTCTTATTTTTCAAAGTTTATTTATTTAAAACTTTCATATGCCGTCCTTTATGTATAACATCTTAGGACGGCTTAGCGCATAAAATCAGAATCCAATAAAACAATCAATATCATAATATACTACAACAATATATAACAATAAAAATAAATCAAATCAAAAGCGACTGTTAAAACCATTAAAATACTATTTTTTTAAAATAACACTTGAATAAAAAGGTTTTGACCTGGTGCCGAAAACAAGAGAATTTGCAAGGTTCATGAAATCACATTTTAAGAATAAGGAGAGATGACAGTGGATAGCTTTAGGCATGACAAATATTTAGAGGCTAAACAACAAACTCTATAAGAAAGCTCTGCTGAACTGACAGTAATGTCTGACAGACTTTTCAGAAACAGCTGGCATTTGTGATAGAAACCACAAAAATTAAACATAAATACCATTTCCACTCTGCCTATTCAGCAATAGATTGGATTTAAGATATTACTGTTAATAAGCCTAATATAGTGTTCAGCTATATCTCAGACCTATCCCAGAATCTTACTTTTACTGTATACTGCCATCACTGCACACAACAAAATAAGTTGAAACAACACATTCTTCTCCCAAGGTGCTTACAAGATGCTTGTTTGCACAACATGACAACCCACTGTGGGTGACAACTTGTGATAGGTTGTCATGTTATGCAAACCCATATTGGCTCATGGAGACTGGTGTGTTTGTAGGCAACAAACCATCCTGACAACTCATGACCTTGTTCTAGGGGTTGCTGAACCCACAATGGGTTGTCCTGTGCTCTAAACTTGAGAACTATTTCATCGTAGGTTGCAGGAAGTAACTACTGAGACATTCAACAAGAAAAAACACAGCGACTCTTCTCCATACAGGCAAAATCGCTATCAAAATCTGCCAAGCAAGAGATTTTGCTACATCAGCCTGTGCCCTCCCTCCTCCCTTAGCAGTTTCTTTCTCTATTCCCAGCAGTCTTCTTTTGCTTTGCTAGTTACTTCTGTCTCATTCCTGTTGCTTGCTTACAACTTCAGGTCACCTGCTGCCACCAATGCATATCGCACCTTAAGAGAGAAGATGTATTAAAGGTGCACTAATGCTATGGGGGGGGGTGTACACATGTGGGGGAGGAGTTGCACTCCCCACACATGCATTCATAAACCCTTTTATCTTTTCATTCTCTCTGCTTCTGGTTTCCATCTCTAGCCACCACCTAGCTAATTCACATGCTTAACACAATAGCAGTTCAAACTGAGAAAAGATACCAACTTCTCAGTGCATGCCTGGACCTGAACAAATGGTGAGCTTGCTCTGTGACCCAAAACTTTCTCTGGAGAGTGCTCTGACTGGAAGGCATGGCTTTCCTCAAGTCTCCCTGTCACCTAGCTTGCAATACTGAGGCACCTCCTTTCAATGTCGCCTATTCCCAACTGCCAGATTCCTGTGGCTCTGCCTTTGCCACAGCCCCACAGCCACAGGTGTGCTTGTTCTGCTCCTCCTTTCCCAGCAGCTGAATAAGTGTGGAATGAGACTTATTCCACCACCCTGTGCTGTGACTGGCAAGCATTAAAAACAGCCACTGACCACTACAATGAGCAGGACAAAGCCTGCACTGGATTCCAAAAAGAAGCCCTTTTCAGGCTAGCGTCAAAAGGCTCAGTCTGCAGAAAATGCTACTGTCTGCCTCCATGGGAACCAAAAATGCCACTGTGGTGGAAGTGCTCATCACAGACAGATGTCTCATCTGTTAGTGGGCAATCCAGCACCCCAAGGCACCTTGATTCTGGATGAGGATGGTTGGGAAGATACCAGATTTCTCCAGACTTTCTGAATGAAAGCCAGTGTGGTGTAGTGGTTAAGAGTGCAGGACCAGGATGCAGGTGATCTGGGCTCTAGTCCCAGCTCAGTCATGGAACCAACTGGGTGACTTTGGGCCATTCACAGACTCTCAGCCCAACCTACCTCACAGGGTGGTTGTTGCAGGGATAAGACTGCAAACAGCAGCAGGAGGAAAACTATTTAAGCTGCTTTGAGTTCTTTAAAAAAAATTAAAACTGCAGGATATCAGTTTAACAAACAAACAAACTGTCCTGTGCCACTTTTGAAATCTTAGCAGTGAAAATAGGACCTATTATCATTTGGCCACTTGCATCCCATTTGGACGTAACAATGCAGAAATCCATATTGAGGAGGGAACTGCTATGCCTGACCTTGTACAAACTAGCTTACTATGTTGGGTACATGCCCTTCAGCAACACCTTCAGAGCAGGAAAATCTACAACTGATTGTTGCATTTAACTCCAGCTTTTGCGGCCCTGAGGCCTCAGCCACCTATTCCCTCTCCTTATTTGAATAAGAATAAAATCCCATGTCTTCCTAAGGTATTTTTGCAGAGATGCTGGATTTTACCTTTATACCTTATGCCACCATACAGGGTTGTAAGTGTGGCCAAATGGAAGAACTTGTGCAAGATTCTCTTGGAGTGTGCCTTTGCCTGCTTAAAAGCAAGGCAGCATTCCATCTACACACTTCTGGTTGAAGATGACGACCTCGTTCCAGATGTGCAAGATGGAGCAAGTGACAGTCACAACATATGCAAGTCAAGTAACATGTTCCTTTCAGGAGAACACTAAGCTATTCAGGGCTGAAATCAATGTTGTTGCCATCCGCGGGCCAGAGAATCAGCACCACCATATCTCCTGTGACTCCCTGCATCTGAATCAAGCAATTTGAAGGGAAGTAAGAAATATCTCTAAATGAATCTGGGACCATTACTCACATGTGTGTCATATCCAAGAATGACTTTCATGCTATGTTACAATTGCCAGAATAATCCCCACCACTGTAGTATAAGCACACCTTCACCATAAAAGCAATTCTTCCTAATAAGCACCCCCCATATACTTGATATAATGTAAAATACTGTGATTTCCCCACTCATGTAAGTACTCTGGCATATTAGCAGGCCTTCCCTGTAAGTATCCTTGATGTAAACATCTTTCACCAAGAAGCATCTGTCAAATATGCTCTGCATATGCCCCCTCCATAGTGTCTAATTAAGTATGCCTTCCAAAGAAAAGGTACTTTTAGTTCATGGGTCCTCAAACTATGGCCCGCGGGATGGATCTGGCCCACCATGCCCATTTATCTGGCCGGCGCTGCTGCTCGCCACCCTTACGCACGGGTGGGAGGTGGTGGTTTGCTCACTCCGAGATGGTTTTGGACACATTGGGAGATCTCTGAGCGAGCTGCCACCCGCCTCCCCTGCACGCACGTGCTCACCGCTGCCTCACAGCACAGGCAGAAGGCAGTGGCTCGCTTGCTCGGAGATGGTTTTGGACTCGCTGGGAGATCTGCGAGCAAGTGAGCTGCTTTGCATGCGCCCGACCCTGCCTCGCCGGCCCATGCCCCCCCTTCCTCCCCAGCCCACGTGGGTCGCCGCCACCTTTCAACTGGCCCCCTATTGAAAAAGTTTGAGGATCCCCGTTTTAGCTGCCATAATAATTGCAATAGAAGCTTTTCAGACTTTTGTTTCTCAACAAAGATCTTTATTGGGGGTTGCAACCCACCAGGGTCTTCTTGAGGGGAAATGGGCTGGTACAAAGATGGAACCCCAGGGGAGCCAGGAGAATAAGGATGGAGGCTTCAGTAGAAAGACTGATCAAGAAGCTGGGCTGCAGCCTGCAGTGTGTTAATGGGACAGGAGAGAGGGTGAGGGTGAGCTGCTGTTACAGTAGGTCTTGACAGCGGCAGCTGAGTACAGGCAGCTTCTTCCATAGGCATGGAGTGGGGGTGGGATGTTTGTGGCAACACAAACTGCTGCCTCAGGGAACTGAAAAGTAGATGGGTGGTGAGTTCAATTGAGACCCTCTTCAGAGAGGGGAGGGTAGTAGAGGCAGATAAAGATAGCAGTCCACTAAGGCAATGCACAAGGCAACACAAAAGGTTTGTTAAGTTTTATACAAGCAGGCATTCAGCAGATACAGGGTTGTGAAGGACTGGAAACTTTCCAACATGAACTGGCAAAACTGAACATGCTTCCAGTGCACAATGGATCAAAAGCAAAAAGGCTGTCAATGAAGTGAAAGAACAAAGGGTTCACATCCACCATGAAAGCCCTCTGGATGTGTTGCTGCCAGTCAGAGGACTGCAGGGGAAGGAGGTCAAAACAACCCCCAGTCACCTTTTGAGAGCACCACATAAGGTTTTGTGAACAACCCACACTATGTAGGTGGCTTAACATGACATGCAAATATAAATTTAATCAGTAGTGGGCATAAGAGAAGGGGGAAAGAATGCAAGAAACAAGGGTAACAAGAAATAACTATGAAAAAATGCTATTTCATATACATTAAATTACAATTTTAAGGAAGAATTTGAAGAAAGATGTATTATCAGAAAATTCGAAACATAGGAGAAATGAAAAGAAATAGACAGAGCCTGTAACAGAGTAGGGCCTCAATCCTAAGTATGTTTTGACAGAATCCTCAGCATCCTTCAGCCAGTCGTACAGGCTCAGGCAACTTGTAGGACATTTTTCTCTCTATGCAATCCAATGCATAGGATTGCACCCTAGGAGGCCTTAATGTATGTGACAGTGGAAGATGAGTGAAAGTCATGAGCAGAGTTATCAAGAGATGAACACATGTCTGAAAAGAATGTTACGTTTTATTAACTGAATTAACAAGCTATACAAATAACTTTAAACAGCTTAAATGTTTTTCTGTGCAATACATCAAACTACATAAATTTTTTCTATGTTAGCATAAACCATTATAAAAGCCATTGTTTTCTTGAACACCACCCTATATAATTGAGTAAGATCCTAATTTTTAAAATGCCAATATATTACTAATAAGATCCATTTGGCAATATATCCCACTGCACCCCAAATTCCTGAGCAGCCATTATATTATCAATGCTGGAGTCCTCTCTTTCTAGCTATAGCAACCATCAAGGCAACTAGGAACAGAAAAAGACTATGTAAATGTGGACAAGGAACTTGTGTTGGGCACAAAAGCAGATAAGATTTTGTACACAGTACACAGACAGCGCAGACTGAACAGGAATCCAAACAAAGGTGGCTCAGTTTGATGAGTTATCAGAATTGCCATAGCATTTATTTACACTTCCTCTCACTTCCATTATCTGAATATTCTTTATTTTAAAAGATTTAAGAAAGCCTCTCAAAATAGTTTTCCTCCTTTTTTCCAAAGAATCCACTATCCCTTAGCATATTCTGTCTCTCCATTCACTTATCCCTTTTTAATAAAAGAGTTTAATGTGTTGCTGTATTTTACTTTATACCCTACTGTTTTCATTTAAAAACCCAGAGCAGCAATTTACAGCAAGCAGAGTTGGAAGGGAGGGAGTATTATATTAAGTTTATTAAATCATGATTAACAGATAAATCCAGAGTCCAGTAAGTCTCAGACAAAAAGTATGTGTATCTAGGACAAACAACTGAGCATATCACGCTGGGGCTTTGTCAACTTCACTAGCTTCTCATCCATTTTTGGGCCCAATTCAAAGCACTGTTTTTGATCTTTAAAGCCCTTCACACTTGAGATCAGGGTACTTGAGGAAACACCTGTCTCAGCATGTACTAAATGAACCGTGAACTCTTCTGAGGCCCACCTTTGGTTGATCCTGGAGAGCAATTATATTTTCTCAAGGATAACATCCCATCTGTTGAACATTTTCCCTGAAAAATCTTACCTGGTGCTACTTTGGAATTATTTCAAACCAAAGAGCTTTTCTTTTGTCAGGTATTTCAATCTGCTCCGAGTCTGACTGGTTTTATTTTCACCAATTGTATGTTTTATTGCCCTATCTTATTACATGTA